CCCCAAAACCCCAAAACCCCAAAACCCCAAAACCCCAAAACCCCAAATGTTGTTCACAATATTGAAGAAGATTAATACTTGTACTATAAAATTGAACTTTACTGTATTGTAAACATTTTAGGATGAAATTTAACAAAATTTTAATAATCTCCAGCAATCCAAGTTAAAAACTTACCGTTATTTGGTGGAAAATAAGCCTACTAGCTAGGTTTTAAAAGAAGATAAGTCAAAATTAAGCCCTATCTTCTGTTTTTGAGACAAAATAGGGTGGGGTGAAGGCTGAAAAGAGGTAGCATGCATATCTCTGCCCTAATTTCAGCCCAGAGTTCCCGTTCTCTATCATATAACAACGATATCTAAGCATTCATAAAGTTTTAGAATGAATATGAATCTAGTAGTTTCATAAATTTTCAAGTAATCACTGAAATGATTATCAATTTGCCTTGGAATTTTTAATAAAAACTACAAATTTGCTAAATCCTCAGAATTAGAGACTCAGGCTTGGCCCAATATTTTTATTCGTCCCCACTTTATTTTGATTCAAATCTGGGCCTTATTTGACATAGTAAAAAATTTTGAACTAAGAATAGGATGTTCAAAACATATATACGAGTAAATAATTTTAAGGTTAATTAATAATATTTTGGAAAATGGATGAAAAAGAAGGTACGAAAATTGATCTATAAACCCATGGGGGTTGCCTTATCTACCTTAAGGAGATTCTAGGACCAGTGAAATACTGATATCTTACTAATGAAACAAGTCTGAAAAGGGGTTATGGGCATGTTGTTTTTGTGACTGGGGTCGGTTTGATAGTGAACTTTTTGTTCTTGAAGTCTTGCTGAATGCTAGCAATTTGGGTTGGTAATACAAGGAACTTGTATCTAAATTATTTAAGCTGAAAATTAAGAGCAAATTCTGGATTTTTCTACCTGTTTTGGGCACCTAATTTATGTAAAACAGTGTGATGTCCTCTACTTCCAGGTTTGATATAAATCCTTTAATTTAAGACATGGTAATGCAAAAACTAATCAAATAAATTGAGAAGATAAAGATTAATAAGCAGCTCTGGGGTACTGAAAATATAGAATTTTAAGAACTTCACCAGCAGTATTCACCAGCTCATAATTCTCAATATCATGCTAGTTCTCATATAGAGTTTATATCAAATTTTTATCAGAGGTGGCATTTTAAAGTAAAAATTTCTCAACAAAACAGCTGCTAAGGGAGATTAACTGAAAATTTAATGTAAAATGATGGATAAAAGCTATCAAACAGCCTTTTTAGGAGAAATATAGCTTAGAGGCTTCCTTACACCAAATAGATGCCCTGCATGAGGATTTCTTTTAGCTTAGAACAACTTTTTAATCTCCTCAACTAAAACTTATCTTTGTTGGGCTATAGAGAGCAGGCTTGATTTCTAGAAGAACAATTTGTCCTCCTAACATTTTCTATATCTTTAGCTATTAGGTTTAGATCCTGAGGTTTAAAATTTACACAATGTTGGGAAGTAAATAGGTTGGCTACAATTGGTTTATTTGCCTATATGGTTTAGGCGAGAGCTAAGCTGTAATAAAGTAGGACATCGGAGTCGGCTTAATTTTGAGGTTATTCACTTGGCTCTTTAGATTAAAGAGTGGTAGGAGATGGATGAGTTATTGCATTTCTGAGGTTTTATGTGGAATTTTAACTAAATTGCTAAGTACTAGCCAATTCCAACCTCTTTTGCGTCAAATTAAATCTTTAGAGCCTGAATTACGGAAGATTGATTTTAGGTGACAAAATTCATCACTCTTTTATGAAAAGATAGATTTTGTGTTTAACACTTTAAAGAACTTGGATTTTAGTCCCACTGCATTTTTGGGGCTGAAGTGACTAGGGCCTGTTTGGGCCAAGAGGGGTTTTGGGAGGAATGTTGGGGAATTTGGAAATTGGGGTATTTAGGGATTGATAGGGGATAAATGGAGTGTTGGAGTTAGATAGTCGGTGAAACAATAAATTTGGCCTGATCTTCAAATTCTTTATGTTGTTGAAATTATTTTGGTATAGATAGAAAGAGAGAGGGATGTAATGAAGACATTCCGATGAGAATCCAGGACTCAGGAGGGAATCAAATACAGGTGAATTTTGGAATAATATATAGAAAGAATACTCCCAGTTGGATAATCGTCCCAGACAGGCTATTGATGATGCCTGGAGTGAGAGCGAGCACCGGAAATTTGTCGAATGTTGGCAATCCTCTGATAGTCTAGGTGTCGGCAAATACGGTCACTTGCTTGAAAATTTTGAAAATGACATTTACACAAAAACAAGACCAGAAATAGAGAAATATGCAAAGAAATTCTTCGGGATGCTTGAAAATCAAGCAAGGGTCGGAATTCAAGGTGAGTTTTAGTATTCAATTTATTAATCTATATCTATTTGCTTTAAAATAACAGTAATGATGTGTTTAGAGGAAAGAATGATCTATTAATTTTCTATCTTATTTTCTTCTAAAAGGATTTCTAAATAAGTGCAATAAATATGTTTACTTATTAAAGCATTACTCTCAAAGATGCTTTCATTAATGATACATATATTAGCAATAAACGCATACTCGCCACCTCTTCAGTCTTTTTCGTTGTGTAAAATTAGAGAAATTTCTCGAAGTTTTAGGATTTCCTTCTGTCAGAAGAACAGAGATTTTAAGCAGTGGAATTAGTTTGATAGCTTTAATTTATCATTTTACTGACCTAGTTTAGGTAATACTATTCAAGAGCAGACTCAGTTGAATCAGAAAAATGGGTAACCTAAATTGACAGCTATAGAAATCTTATAAATCATGGCGCTAAGCCTGACAGCGAACAAAATAAGAAGTTATTCGGGACAGAGAGCATCAATCAGAATAGAAAATCAGCTAAGAAGCTTAAAGAGGAAATTTAAAGAATCGGCTAAGCCTCCCCCGAGAAAGTATATGAAAGATAATGAAGGCAACCACCAAGAAGTATCTACAGATCCAGGCACTGTGTATGTCTGACCTAATCGGGGCGAAATCGCTATTCGAGCTAATGCTATTGAGACTACCGTCCATTGTGAAATCGAGCATTTTAATGAGACCAAGTAATTTTTGTTTCTTATATCTAGTGGAAAAGAGCGAACTCATATTTATCCAAACCAGCAAGTAAAAATACATATTGTTCCTCAGGATTATGATGTGTCGCTATTACATAATGGTATGTTAATTCATAACGTAAAATTTATTGAATTTTCAAATTACACAGTAAAGAAAATATGAAGAATTTCTTAAAATTTAGCAATGAATTCTGAGTCACTGAATATGAAAATTTAACCTGTTATTTAGCCTCAATGTTTCAGATGCAGTATCAGACGGATATGTACGCAAACCGGAATAGAAATTCTGATATTACTTTCAAACAATTTTTGGACGTGATGGCAAAGATGTATTGTCTTAGAGAGTACAACTTTAATTGTAATGAAAGCTCTGAATGCAGGATGAGTCCTAGTGATAGCATCGAACGAGCTCAGATTAGTGAACCAAATAATAGCTCTCAGTCATCCTCCAAAAAGGTTGATCAGGAAGAAGATTCTGGAAGGAGGCAGAGCAAGTCTCTTCCTTTGGACAGGCTAGAGAAATTGTTTTACTCGATTGAAAACGTGGATAAGAAGTCCGATCCAGGTGATGATAAGAAAGGTCTACAAGGATAATATTTAAAATTGCCAACTAATCTAATTTGTCAGAGCTGAAGTCATCATCAAAATTAATCCTTCCATCTTGAGCTATGTTCAATATAATTTATCTATGCTGGGGTTTTGGGGTTTTGGGGTTTTGGGGTTTTTGGG